ATGGCTGGCAATGACAGTAGCAAGCGGCACCTTGCCTCTTGGGTTATACCATCTCAACTAGAACGGGGGTTGGGGGGTTAGTCTCCAAACATCATCTTTCCTTTTGTAGGAGACTGGACTGTCTCGGAGTTGTTTGTGTAGTTTGTTCCTTTGTTGTGTGTTCACAAATCCATAGAATTTATTTTGTGATCTCCTCTCTTGATTTTCTGTTTGGCGCATTATATGTTTGCTTTTCTGAGTGTCTTGAAGTCATCGTTGATTTACGTTTTCGGGGGCGGTCAATGAACGGCTCTCGAGCAGAAGGCACGGAGACTGAGAAGAAGAAGGACGTGCCTGTACAGTAGTTGCATGAGTTGTGTGTGTTTTAAAAAGAACCAACACGACAGCTCTTTGTTTTGCACCACTGCAGAAACTGCCATGTGACCGCAAGTGGAGCTGCACCGGTGCTACGCCGGAGTTAACATGCTCAGCGGCTTTGTACGTGTTACCGCTCCACAAAATTTGCTCCGGTGTAAAATATATCGCAACAAAATACATCGGTGCAGCACCGGAGCAAATGTGTGCCCTTTTGTCTTAACTAGTGGATATTTCAGCTCCCACTAGTGAACTTGTGCAGGAAATCATAGGCCACTCTTTAACATGTTAGAAGAATCCACGTTTCACCAGTGAACATTTTAGAAGAATCCACGTTTCACCAGTGAACATGTTAAGACTTTTTTAAAATCTTACTCGTTAACCAGTAAGACTTTGAACCTCACTAGTTTGGTCCAGTGGGCCACTGGGGCATCAAAAAGCTGACGAGCTGGGAAGTTGCCACTGCTTGTGTGTTTCCAGCGGTCACTAGTTAAAATTTTGTCAGCACGAGTTGGACAAAAGTGGCAAGAGTTGCCGAAAATGAATGACTAGTCAGAGTTTGTCACGTCGCGAGGTGGTGGTGGACCCCAAAAATCAGGCAAGAGGGAGGAGCAGGGTGAACTTGACGAGTTGTATTAAAACTAGTGATGTGCCCAACTGTGCCGAGGCTCCGATGCATGTGCCGAGTAAACCGGAAAAAAATCTGCGAAGCGCGCTTCAAGGCATGTGTCGATGACAGATGTGGCCACGCCCGAAGCCTCGGAACGCGCAATGCTACGTCTGAAGCCTCGCGAGACGGGATTCCTATGTCACCGCCAACAAATAGCTTCACGGGTGATTCGAAATAAAACGGCGCACCTGGACAGCAGTGAGCTGACAGGTGACACTGACACACTCAACTCGCATCTGCAAACCGCAATTCACTTCAATCCGATTCGTTTTGCAATGGACGGCTTTGGATGCACCCCACCGTCCACAACGAAAAAGAGAACATCCCCTGTCTGGGATCATTTTGAGCAGATCTCTCCTAAAAAGGTAAAATTATAATAACCAGTGTGAATATATATTGTAAATCATTGTGACAGCACAGTGGATCTCTTGTTTTAATGTCTTTCCTCTACTTGCTGATATTTCAAAAGGTGAAGTGTAAACTTTGTTCCAAAGTCAACTTGGGTACCAAGAGAACACTTCAATTATTTTGAGGCATTATAGGGCCCTGCATGAAAATAAGGAGACAACTCAAACAGAACCACACCCAGGTACGGCATTTTAACATGCAATGAAAAAACAGCATAGCCTACCATGTATATTTCAAATGTGACACATGAAATGAATGACATCGATCATTAACTCTGTTTCTTTTAAACTGCACTGGATAAGAATGCAGTGGAAGAGGCATTGATCAATATGGTGATTGAAGATTGCCAGCCCTTCAGTTTTGTGGAGGACACAGGGTTCAGGAAGCTTATCCAAGCTTTCGACCCTACATATGTTCTCCCCACCAGGCAGGGGTGTATGAGAGCAAATGAATCAATATTCCCCATTCCCCCATAACTGCTCTTCCAATCGTGTTCTTTCTCGTTTCCTTTAGACTTTGAAAGTCATGGTGGAGGAGAGGTACCAGCAGGCAAAGGAGAAGGCCCAAGAGCTCGTACCAAAGTCCTCTGCAGTGAGCATAACAGCAGATATGTGGACCAGCATCAACACAGATGCATATTTGGCTGTTACTTGTCATTTCATTGATGAGCGCACCTCTCTGCACTCATCAGCTGTGTTAGGTGTGCTCCATTTTCCTAACCGCCATACAGCTGAGAACATGGCTGCCGTTAAATCGGCACTCATGGCACAATGGGGCATTTCCACCAAGGTAACTTGCCTTGTGACAGATGGGCCAGCCAACATGGCTGCATGTGCCAGAGACCTTCATCTGCGCCACACATATCTGATCGTGAAGAAGGCTTTGGCAGAACACACTGAGCTGTCTGAGATCCGTCCTCAGTGTAGGAGGATAGTTGGCTACTTCAAAAGCAGTACCACTGCAAAGGTGAATTCGTTTATTACACAGCAGTATTCGATTTAATGCTGAATGACTTGAAAAATGTTTTGTTTCCTATTTTATTTTTATACACCAGGCTGACACAGGTGCAGGAGCAAATGAAGCCGACAGAGCCTATGTTGAAGCTCATTCAAGAGGTAAGTTGACATCCATAACTGCTTCCACTCCCCTTTCAAACAATAATGACCTTTTATTTTCAGGTGGAGACACGCTGGAACAGCACCTTCCACATGTTGCGACGGATGTACAACCTCAGGGAAGCCGTAGGAGCAGCCCTGGCAGGCCTCCACACTGACATTGCCCCACTCACATCCCATCAGTTGAACATCCCACCAGTTGAGGCTCATATCTGAGAGTCTGCAGGTGCTGTCCTCATTTAATGATGCCACCATCGAGCTCTCAGAGGAGAAGAGAGTGTCTGGGTCCAAGGTCATACCACTTTTGGCCATGCTACACTATTATCCAGCCGTCGTTGTTTTTCTTCGTCTCTCTGCCTCTCTCTCTAATAGTGCCGCGCTAGATTCTGAAGGATGCGCTGCTGCTGTGGTTTCTGGCCCAATTTTCAAACCGTCAAAATGACGGATGGCCTTGAATTTTTCCTCCAACTCTTAAAAAAAAATCCATCAATGATGGAAAATTGTCGGTTAATGTACCCTCTGCAGAAACAAGAATACATATTTAAAAGATGTATATAATTATACAGACTTGTTGAACTTAGATTTCGTGACAAAAGACAGGCTTTAATTTGTTTTAACAAATCACACCTCCTCCTCCCGAGTCATCACAAATTTAATCGGAAATGTCGGGTTTGCTTCGGGCTCGGGCCTGCAAATCAAGTTAATTGGTCGGGCTCGGGCCGGGTCGGGCTTAAATACCAGCGGGCCGGGTCGGGCTGGATTTTTTTTTTGGCCCGATCTTACCCTTACATCAAATCCATGGTATCATTTTAATCACTGTCTGTCATTACATTTATTTTCCACATGATGGCACAATAGTACAAATAAAGCCTCATGATGCTTCGGCCCAGGAGCGAACCAGTTGGATGGAAAGCCTCATTGCTTGATGAGGCTTCATTTTACCATCACTAATTAAAACACAGAAACTAAATCCAGAACAAATGAAGTCATGAAAACCAAAAACAATCCAAAGTATCAAACAAAGCCATGACTGAAGCCAAAACAAAACCATGACCGAAACATGACTGAGAACAACCATGACAGTAGCATACAAACAGCCACATTGACCCGACAATGAAGGGTCGGGCGGGAGTCCTTTTATGCCACTAATTACCAAACGACTAACAGGTGTGCAGTTGCAGGGGGAGCACTACAGTGCCACCTGTTGGTCCCAGTACCTTTCCCTCAAGGAACGGATCCCGGACGTACCAAAGCTGTCCAAAGGCTTGCCTAGCCAGGGAACGGGAACTAAAAGCGACGGCGACCTTTTCCTCGCCGGAGAACAGGAACAAGAAGTGACGGCAACCCTTGCCTCGCCGGAGAACAGGATATATTATATAAAACTTGGACGACAAAGTGCATCACGAGTGCGGCTGATTGTCCAACTAGTGCTGAAGAAGACCGAAATAGTGCAACACACAAATGTCTGACATCAGGGATATGGAATAAATGTTCAAATGGCTTGCCAGAGATATCAGGGATGTGGAATAAATATTCAAATGGCTTGCCATACCTTTCATTTAGATTTACTTTTCCCTGCAACGGCACCAATGTTCCTTTTAAGCTGCACACCTGCACACTGGTCACACACTCTCAGCACACATGAAAACCTGTCCAGCACAGTGAACGCAATGCAAATTAATTAGATATACAGTATAACTTTTTTTTTTTTTCTGGATCAAAAAACATCGACGCTCACACTCATACCTAGGGACACATTTTGAGTGTTCAATCAGCCTGCCATGCATGTTTTTGGAATGTGGGGGAAACCAGACTACCCGAACAAAATCTACGCAGGCCTGGGGAGGACATGCAAACTCCACACAGGTAGGCCGGGCCCAGAATTGAACCCACGACCTCTGCACTGTGAGGTTGATGCGCTAATCACTGGACCACCGGGCTGCCCTATTTTGGAAAATAATTTTGCTAAATATGCTGTAAAATAAACCAAAACAGAATATTCATTTCTGTCAGAGGTAGTGCAGAGAGTGTGTGTGGGAGGGGCATGACAAAGCATTTATTGAAAGGGGAGCTTCCAGACCTTGAGCACAGAGGTAGTGTGTGGCACAGACTGGATCAGAAGAAGTCCAGGGGTTTTCCAGGAAGCGGTGCGGACAAAAGACAATTAAACTGAACGCAGAAAAGATTACACTGAGACAAAGTGAGTGAATATTCAGTTCTCCTTTTTTTTTTAAGTAATGCAAAAAGTAATTACACTGACATTTAAAATATTTTATTCATGGCCCAAATGAAACAGGATGGTGACACTAACATTTATGTCAAATAAACACAAATTAGCATTTTGTGCACAGATTACATTACTATTCTTTCGTTGCTCATGAAAGAAACTCCACATCCCAACTGGCCTTGAAATTCTGAGCACCTCCGAAGGTGACTGACATCAGGTGGGTGGGGAAAAATAAGCACATGGAGCAAAATTGAAGACAAAATACATTTCATACGATTCAAGGACTGTTGAGTTTTGAGGAGGAAAAAAATGAATACCAATGACCTAACCTCCTCTGAATACAACAAACTAAATTTAAAAACCACAGCTCACAACCAAATGAAAACTAACTCCCATGGAGATTCCAAAAATATGACAACCCTCATGAATATGCTACATTTTCTAATTCATTCCAACAACCGGAAAAAAAAAACTTTTCAATGCACTCAAGGAAAAGAGAACTTCAGCACCAGTTAGAAGGTACATAAAATACAATCAGCCTTGGCACACACAAACCTGAAACCTGCTCAGATGAGAAGTGAAAACTTCAATGATAACTGCTTGTCTCATCATCACACTTGTGATTCTTAATCTGATACTTCCACGAGAATCTTTGGCCACAAATTACGCAGGCAAAAGGTTTCTCACCAGCGTGTGTTCTTGTGTGACGTTTTAAGCTTCCCTCTTGAGAAAATCTTTGCCCACAGTTGGTGCATTCAAAAGGTTTCTCACCAGTGTGTGTTCTTGTGTGTATTCTTAAGTTTCCCTTGCGAGAGAATCTTTGGCCACAGTCAGTGCATGCAAAAGGTTTCTCACCAGTGTGGGTTATTGTGTGACGTTTTAAACTGCCCTTTTGAGAGAATCTTTGGCCACAAACTGCGCAGGCAAAAGGTTTCTCACCAGTGTGTGTTCTTGTTTCTATTTTTAAGCCTCCTTTCTCAGATAATCGTTGCCCACAGTCGGTGCATTCAAAAGACTTCTCACCAGTATGTGTTCTTGTGTGACGTTTTAAGTTTGCCTTCTGAGAGAATCTTTGCCCACAGTCGGTGCATGCAAAAGGTTTCTCACCAGTGTGGGTTCTTGTGTGACATTTTAAGTTTCCCCCTTGAGAAAATCGTTGCCCACAGTCGGTGCATTCAAAAGACTTCTCACCAGTATGTGTTCTTGTGTGACGTTTTAAGTTTGCCTTCTGAGAGAATCTTTGCCCACAGTCGGTGCATGCAAAAGGTTTCTCACCAGTGTGGGTTCTTGTGTGACATTTTAAGTTTCCCCCTTGAGAAAATCGTTGCCCACAGTCGGTGCATTCAAAAGACTTCTCACCAGTATGTGTTCTTGTGTGACGTTTTAAGTTTGCCTTCTGAGAGAATCTTTGCCCACAGTCGGTGCATGCAAAAGGTTTCTCACCAGTGTGTATTAAAGAATACACACTGGTGAGAAACCTTTTGCATATTCGTGTATTCTTTTATGAACATTTAAGTGTCCCTTCTGAGAGAATCTGTGGCCACAAAATAAGCAGGCAAAAGGTTTCTCACAAGTGTGTGTTCTTGTGTGTTTTTTTAACCTTCCCTTCTCTGAGAATCTTTGCCCATATTCGGTGCATGCAAAAGGTTTCTCACCAGTGTGTATTAAAGAATACACACTGGTGAGAAACCTTTTGCATATTCGTGTATTCTTTTATGAACATTTAAGTGTCCCTTCTGAGAGAATCTTTGGCCAAAAACTAAGCAGGAAAAAGGTTTCTCACCAGAGTGGGATCTTGTGTGACCTGTTAAGGTTCCCTTACAGGAAAATTTCCGGCCACAGTCTGAACAGGCAAAAGGTTTTTTCACCAGTGTGTGTTCTTGTGTGTATTTTTAAGTTTCCCTTGTGAGAGAATCTTTGCCCACAGTCAGTGCATGCAAAAGGTTTCTCACCAGTGTGTGTTATTGTGTGACGTTTTAAACTGCCCTTATGAGAGAATCTTTGGCCACAAAATGCACAGGCAAAAGGTTTCTCACCACTGTGTGTTCTTGTGTGACTTTTTAAGTTTCCCTCTTGAGAAAATCGTTGCCCACAGTCGGTGCATTCAAAAGGCTTTTCACCAGTATGTTTTCTTGTGTAACGTTTTAAGTTTCCCTTCTCAGAGAATCTTTGCCCACAGTCGGTGCATGCAAAAGGTTTCTCACCAGTGTGGGTTCTTGTGTGATGTTTTAAGCTTCTTTTCTGAGAGAATCTTTGTTCACAAACTGTGCAGGCAAAGGGTTTCTCACCAGTGTATGTTCTTGTGTGATTTTTTTAAGTGTCCCTTCTGAGAGAATCTTGGGCCACAAAGTGTGCAGGCAACACATTTCTCACCAGTGTGTGTTCTCGTGTGACTTTTCAAGTTTCCATTCTCAGAGAATCTTTGCCCACAGTCGGTGCATGCAAAAGGTTTCTCACCAGTGTGGGTTAATGTGTGACGTTTTAAACTTCCCTTTTGAGAGAATCTTTGGCGACAAACTAAGCAGGAAAAAGGTTTCTCATCAGTGTGGGATCTTGTGTGACCTGTTGTTTGTGTGACCCTTACAAGAAAATTTCCGGCCACAGTCTGAACAGGTGAACGGTTTCTCACCAGTGTGTTGTCTAATGTGTAATTCCAAAGCACCTTTACAAGCATACATTTTCCCACAGGGAGAACATTTCCAGGGTTTGTTGTGTGTGTGATATGTCAGATCACCTTCAAACTCATCTTCATCCTCCTCCTCATCATCATCATCTGCATTTGACGACGTGTTGTCACTATCTGATCGTGGAGCTAAGAGGCCATCTGCTTTTGATTCTTCCTGGTCGATTCCAACACTTTTTGTTGTCAAGTGATGACATGAGCTGCTGCTTCGAGCCTCTCTGTCCGCCTCATTAATCGTCTTCAGAGAAGCACCAGGAAATGGCACCTTGCAGATATCCTCCTCCTCCTCTTCTTTGATGTTAGGAGGCTCATCCACCTCCACTTTCATGCAAGGGTGCTGTAACTCCTCCTCTTTAATATATTGGGCCTGCTGCTCCACTTCCTCTTTTAAGTGGGAGATCTCTTTTTTCTCCTCTTCCTCTT